TGCGTGCATCACACATCTTTCACTCACCATTCTACTTTGAGTAAAAATAGGTATTTCCTACATATACCTATATAAGTATGCCCTATATACCTCATTATTTTGAAAATTTGGGGTGTAGGTCACACCTCAATATTTTTGAAGGGCGCCTTTTTTCTCGATTTTGTTGTCAAATTATCTAATAAAGAGAAGAATAGTTAAGAGAATAATGAATAATGAAGAGAAGAATAATTGGGGTGATCAGTCAAAAAAGAAGGCAAAAATAAATGATAATATTTATTTTTACATATGCCGATGTTCCATTTTACTTTATTTTTTTACCATCACTACTTATGTTTCTCATACCTTGTTATCTGGGTATTTTCTTAGCCCTGATGAAGGCCTGAACTTCAGGTCGAAACGTCGGCATATGTAAAAATAAATATTATCATTTATTTTTGCCTTGTCGTTTTTGACTGATCACCCCAACTATTCTTCTCTTCATTATCCACGACAGTCAACCATTTACCAATTATGTATCTCACAATACAAGTAGAAAGCAAATGGGTATTTACGTATTTTTAGTACCTAATTAAATAGACAAATTTTGATCCCCCCAGATTGAAAACGCACCAATTCCAAGAGTTTTCGTAAATAAAATAGTTGTAGGTTAGGATGAGATGAAACTATTTACGAAGTTTCAGGCGGATGTTAATAATTCGATAAAAAAAGGTCTGTACCACATACTATAATCTTTATAATTAAATAAAACCAGTGCAGGGTTATGGGATACTAGTTTAACCATGTATATACGGTACAAATAAAACAGAAAATACAGAAGCTTGGGATTATGTGAGGATAGGACAGAAGAGAATTTCCGTCCAGGAGGAAGTGGACGGAGGAGAGCAAGAAAAAATTTAGCGATATCCTCAATCAGAGATCGGCAGAAAAGAAGAAATTGAAGAAGAGACCAGTATCATAGTCGTGTAGTCCTTCAGGGCTGTTTCGCATCAGAAAAAAAACACCAAAAAACCAGTGCAAGCATTTCTGAAAAGCACACTTGTATATCTATATTATTAGAGCCAGAATATTACTCAACTAGGATATATCACATTATGCCCATATGTTTGGATGTCACATATAGTTGCGTTCCTTGTAACTATTTATTTTTAAAAAAACCAATGATCTCACAAAAAATGGGCCGCACTGCCCTGAAATTGTAAACAAACATGGCGGATAGATGTCTTTGACTTATAATTTCAATTGTTGCTTCTAAATCTATATATATAAAAATGAATGTATGTCTGTCTGTCCGTCTGTTTGTTCTTAGTGTGTTACTAAACCATTCAACCGATCGCCATGAAACTTTGGTAAGTTGTTCCGTACACTCCTGGGAAGGTTTCTGGCATAGTACCTCTGTCTTACGATAATTTTATATATGTAAAAAAAATAAAAATGTAAATGTTTTTCTGTTCAAAGCCGCAAAAAATGTGTCGCTATAAACTGTAGCGCCAAAACGGCTTTACCGATTTTAACGAAACTTGGCTAAAGTCTTCCCCTTGAAACTCTTTTAATTTATGTGTATAACATACTTTCCCGAAAACAAGCTGAAAAATGTTACGATGAATTCAATATTTTATTTGATGATAACTAAAAAAGTATACAATTTTTGACTGATAATACCCATATTTATTGAAAGATTTCTGATATGCTGACAAAATAAAAATAAAAAAATCATGGAAATCGGACGGTTCGTTGCAGAGTTTGAATTTTAAACATTTACTGCTTTCTCTCCAGAAAAGGCCGTTTCCTTTTGCTTCCTCACTACCGAACGTCGGCAAGCATTTTTTTTATTGATTAATCGAAAGTTTTATAATTACTACAGTAATTGAAATTATCATTTGAAGAATTTATATGATTCTCCTTATGTAGGTCAATACTATTATACGTTTATTTTATTAATTTTTTAATTTAGTTTTATAAGTTCAACTCAGACTGTTTCTGATGATTATAAATGACGGCGTATTCACTCAGATGATTATGAATGTTCAATTTGAATCATGAGAAAAAAAACCATTAGAATTAGTTTAAATTGAAGCCATTTTACAGACAAATTTGTTTTCCAACTTTTTAGTGTCCTTTGCTACTAATCTACTCATATGTGCTTTCTATTTTCTTTCTTTTTCATTTTGCCAGGCTAAGCCACAGCAGCGCATGGCCGGGAAAAGCTAGTATGATATAAAGAGATGTTGCTATATGTTCTGATCTACTTAGCAGATTTTTTATTTTAGAAATGTTAATGTCAATAGTCCACTTGAAATAAATTGAACCGGATATTCCATAGACAACGGCAAATTCATGTGGCACGAAATGAGAAAGGATTCCAGAAAATATACTAATTACACTATGAAGAGAATACTGGTAGGGCAGAATTAATGATGTTTACCTTCCGGGTTAGCTGAGGCTACACACAACCTCCGACCCTTCAATTACACAAATGAAGAGAGCGGTTGAGCGGTTGTTGGCTTCGGCTAATTGGAGAGATAGACCGCCGCCGGTTCAACCAAAGTCAATATGACATCTGTAAACTTTACCCTTTCCACTCGCTACCATTATCAATCCATCTAAATACCTTCTCTCGATGAATTCCAGCTATGGAGTAGGGAAGTTTCAATGTGAACGCAAATGTTTTTCCAAAGAAATGTTGGAGTGTATAACTGTAAACTTTCCATCATGTAGATTCAACTGGCAGTAAGAGGCAAAACCAAACATTTGTTATAATATTATAAAAAAATACTATTTACCCCAGTAAGAAGTCTCAGATTAGATAGCTATCACTTTCTTATCACCGACATCAGCGAGGCATGTTGATTCGTATATACAATACAGTATTTACAAAACAGTCTATTCAACAAACAAAATTTAAAGTAAAAATTTACTTAATCAGTGATCATCTTGTCCCATTGGATATCGCTCCCCAAATATCTCTCCTGTTTAGTAGTAAAGCTATAAGACTCAGCGATTCCTGTGCTCGCTCAGTTTGCTATTTGCTTAGTGCATTTGAAACCTTAGTTTGTAGTTCTCAGGGCTTCATTTGGGCATGAATTCCTCTCTCCATCCCTACCATGATAGGTTTATTATTCTCCCCTTCTTATAAACAAATCTAGCATAGTAAAAAATCAAAAACATTTAAAAAATCGTAGATCGTAAACAAATACACTTGATGTGGTTTGTTCCAAGTTTCCCTAATGCCCTTGGTTTGAAACTTTCCATTTCAAAAATTCATAACCCTTTCGAAATGTGCCCCCTTAAAATTCTCGCGGCTTGCGCCATGAGACCCCTTCTGTGCACTCTTAGTAGTTGTGCACTTGTGATAGCTATCTAATCTGAGTGTTCTTACTGGGGTATAATAGTATTTTTTATAGTTCTCTTACTAATACAGAAGTTTATCACTTAAGTCCAAACTCTAGCGAGAGTTTAGAAGACAAAGTAGGATATCTTTTATTCATTAAACATTTTTATATTTAAATATGAAAAATTTTCTTTCTATATTATTTCAAGCACCCTAGGGCTTAGAGAGCCATTCTCCTCCATTTACTTATTAAATATGTTTAGTTCGTGGAGGAATATCATATGTAGCAACATTTTAAATTTTTAATACCTAAATTAGTGTTGCCCAAAATCGCTCCTGGTCTTGCACTTTGCAAGACCAAAAACAAGATTGGTAAAAAAAAAATCGATTTTTCAAATAAAAATCATGACAAAATATGTACTAATATTTGATAATTTTAGGTAATTTATGTGAAGAATTGGTATAACCAATATAATTTTACATTTAACTCTTTTAATTTTTTAGTTAGCTTTCTCCTATCTAAAAATTCCAGTAATATATCTATAGTAATAAGCTAATTGGTAACTGCAAGACTGTTGCGAGACTCTTGCGCAAGACCAAGACCAAGATCAAGACTGAATGCGCAATCTCCCATTTGGGCAACAACCTAATACGGGATAGGTATTCCATGGCAACCATAGCATCTGAGAGGTAATCGGTATGAATTGCGATTTTCTCGAAAACGGGACATTCTTGGGCTTTAAACGATACTAACTTATGATATGTAATGTAGATATATATTTAGGTAGAGACCCGCTGGAACCCATTTTTGGATTTGATGAACATGATTTGTTCCAAGACAAAATTTATTTTGCCGAAATTCTTCTCGGTGTTGCCACTTTCTATCAACTTACTACTGTTTTGCTTACGTCCAATAATTCTTTCCTCGTCGCAAAAATTGCCTGAAATACTCGTAAAATTGATAAAATCATAAAACATTTTCACTAACACAAAAACAATGCTAACTTCGTCCAGAGAAATGTAACATTGAAGAGAAAAATATAATAAATACAAAACATATGATTTGAGGTTATTTTTATATAGCAAGGTCCACAATATGCATTTTTCCCCGGCTCCCCTCTTATGAAAATTTCGAATCTCTCTTTAAAATCCAGCCACTCTTGAGCTGACTCATCATCCGCATTGGTCATTCTAGGAGGTTTTAATGAATGGATTAATTTGTCTTCGTTGTAAAAATCTATGGATATATTATCATTCTGTCCTTAAGGGTCATGTTTATTCATTACAACTTTACTATATACATAGCAACAGTTATATTAGAATACCCAAAGAATTATAGCTGAACAACAATTAATAACATATGTTTTACAGCTTCAATTCCCTTACTTATGTATCTGACAGATATTTCTTGTAATTTTAAATAGCATTTTAAAAGGGTGTGGAATTGAATTATAAAACAGAAAGTACACATATGTGGTAATTTATATCTGTGACGAAATTTAATGTTAAATGTTAATCGGCTATTCTTGTCAATTGCAACAGATTATTTATCAACATGCTATTGCTTATTTAAACAATTTAATTTAAGGAGCGTAGGCACAAAAATAATAAAGATAATTAAAGTGAACTATGCATCTAAGTATCGAAATAAGGTTTAAGTTACATTGAACAAAAATTCTTATTATATTGAGCTCTAGGATAATACAATATTTATTCGTCTGCGGGAAGCAAGGAATCAGCCAAATTAAAGTTTAGTTTTTCTATATCCTATTCTATTGTATAACTTTGCAATTAAAAAAAAATCTAGCAATCATCTGAATATTCGGTATTTTTTCTATGATCCAATTTTTAAATAACTAATTATCACGTTTTTATTGAATAACACTCCAAATGGAACGAGTATAACTATCGCAACGTTGCCTGTTCATATAGCCTTATTTAAATAATTTATTTAAATCAACTAAAATATTTTTTTAATTTAAAACTGTTTTAATCTCTAATGGTTTCTGTTGATTCTTTAATTCCCGTACGATTAAATCGACTTTTTAACAAACTTTTCGATTATTTACCGATAGCACATTATTGTACAGGTTAGGTCAACTTTTACAGAACTTGAATTTTTTTTTTTTATCCAAAAAGTAATTTTATTTTTTTAAATAATTATTCAGATTAATAATAATAACTAAAGACCTCGTTTTATATATATTTTTTAACTCACCCAGTTGTTAATTTGTTACGATGATTTTTAGATGACTAAAAAGGGAGACGGACCCGCTATTGTTCGAAGACGAAACTGCGACGACGAAGAACTCATGCACATACTGGCATCCTTGCAGATCATAGAACCAGAGAACATCGTAAGGTTGGCGAACAAACGAAACCTTACTAAATTTTGCAAGTGAGTCACCATAAAAATGTAATCTATAATTTGCTTGAAAAGAGGATTAAAAATCAGTGCTCTAACTGATAGAAAAACCAATATTCTCCCATTAACCATCAGCTTTTTCAGGTTTAATTTTGGGGCTATTTTTTAATTTTTATTATAAAATAGTAACAGCATAAACAAAGGTGCTTTTAAGGTTAAAATTATATATTGTTCTCTGTCACCTGCTTACATTGAGAGTAGCTAAAGTACATTCGTTACAATTTAACAAGAGAACGTATTGTAATTGTTTTGTAAATATTTGGCTGAGATTTCCTGTAGAAAGTAAATCCTTCTTCTTATAAGGCGCTTCGTCCCGCGTGGAGACAAAACCTCTTGCTTTGAACCCTAGTCATCGCTGTTCCGTGTTGCTGCCTTCGAGTTTCATCGTAACACCATTCATCCATCGTAACTTTGGTCTTCTTCTTCTTTTTTTCTCAAAGATTTCTTTCAATAGAATGCCTGATTATCAGGTCCCAAACATCCTATTATTAGATATTCTGATGATATGTCCAGTCCATTTGAGATAAGTACCCCTGCGGTTTCCCTCTCTATGTAGCCGCCTCGGTTAAGGCGCACGGCTCTTTTCTACTTTAAGCACACCAGTGAATTTTTAAAGTGTTTTTGCGTCTGGATTAAAATATGTTAGAAACTAAAATGTTGGCGAGGGAAATGTTCAGCATTTTATCTTCTTTGTAATAAGCTATTACTCAAAATAGTATATTAACGTGACGCGGCGTCAGAGATGCAAAAAGGGAAAAATACCACTTAGCAGATTTTCCTTACCGACAAATTAATTTAATCCTTCTTTTTTTAAACTTATTAAATGGAATATGATGATATTTTTAGTAATCTAGTATTCTAAAACTACGCCCAGCCTTTAGAATACTGAAGTAATATTAACAATGAAAAACAATCTAAGTAGGACAGACCATTAAACTCTGAGTGGTAAGTTGCAATGAACGAATAATTTTTGTTCGATGAAAACAATAGCCTATAGATCACTACCATAGGACAAAAGCACTTGTTCAGCAATCGCAAGGGGCCTCACTAACTGGCAGGTAAGACTTTTTTTAGCTGAGCTATCTATTATTTTAGTTGTCTAGTTCATTCAACTTGCCTATTTACCAGCAATAGGGCTACAAAATATCTTATATAAAATGTGAGGAAGTGGGTAAATTACGTTTAATTACAAATATATAGTAAATCGTTTTTTCCATAATTGGTTACCTAGGTTAATAAATGCTAAAGTTTTTATTGAATTATTATAAATTTAATGGTTTGGTCCTTGATTACAAAAATATTATGCTGGGAAGCATTTCCCGGCATCTTGTTTCATGTAACTAGACATAATCGTGGAAACAGGAAATGTGGAAGGTATCCTGAGGTAGTACTCCCTTGCTCGATGCGGAACCTCATACACCCAGAAAGAAACAGATAAAGAGGAAATGGCTTGATCTGATGACCATCAGATCTTTTAAGTCAAGCGATGGATCCCAGTAGTTGACTTTTTCCTGAGGGAACGAGTGACTATTCATTTACATAAATGATAAATGATGCATGACTTAACAGTTCTTTTAGAAAATCTCAAAGTGGATATTATGGAAAAAAATAATAGTTTAAATTGAGGAATGGAAATTCTGGGTAAATGAGTAGATCTTCTATGTCCTACTAGCGGTGTTCCTTCTAGTCCGGGAGTTAAAAAAATGTCATATTTCATACTGAGGTGTGTCCTTATAAATTGATCATATGCACAGGCCTGATGAGAAAAATGTACATCTGCCAGCATATAGCCGCCGTAATGCAAAATGGCGACCATGTAGAAGAGACCATACATAGGTTGTGAGTAGTGTTGCCCAAAATCGGTTGCAAAGTGCAAGACCAAGACCAAGGCCGCCTAACTGTTGCAAGACCAAGACCAGGACTGGTAAAAAAAATCGATGTTTTTAATAAAAATTAAGGCAAAATAGTTACTAATACTCGACAATCTTAGTTACTATATGAAAATAATTGGTATAACGAATATAGTTTTTCATTTAATTCCTCTAATTTTTCATTCAGGCTTAGTTAGGTTTCTCCTATCTACAAAATACAGTACTGTAAGACTGTTGCGAGACTCTTGTGCAAGACCAAGACCATGACCAAACTGAGTTTGCAAGACCAAGACTCGTCTGGGTCTCGCATTTGGGCAACACTAGTTGTGAGCGTATACCTATATATTGAGAGAGCTTATAGATATATAAAGCTACCAATCCTTTGAATTTATAGTATTTATAGTCCTAAGACATGAAATAATCGTAAGTTACCCGACACCCTTAGATTTCAAGTAGAAAAATTGAGTTTTCATTTCAAAAAGTTTACTTTTTTCGGTTTTTATATAATAGTGTAATATGTGAAATGAAAGCTGACAATTTTCGCTGTTACACAAATCTTAATCTGTATATAAGACAGTATATATATGTGTATATTATGTAAGCCAATGTATGTTATCGTTTATACAGATTAAGAGCTGTGTAACACCGAAAATTTTGAAAAGTAAGTTTTTCTGTTTAGTTTCGGAGTTTAATCATTAAGTTATAATTGCTCCAGCCTTTGAATGGTTGAAGATAAGATAGTAAAGTAATATATATTCTTAAAGAAAATTTAATATTAAACAACTTTCTTCCTCATGACTTTTTTCATAAAAAGAAAAGATAACGAGTTGGCGAGTCAAATAATGATAAAAATACGATGCAAAAAAAAAAAAAATTTTTAAAAACATTATTGAACTACGAGGACGGAAACTATAGAATATAGTGAAAAAAAAATTAATCATTTCTTTTGCAAATTTTGTCAGCTTTAATTCTAATATCATATATTAGCGAAAAAACCGAAAAAAGTAAAGTTTTTGAATCTTAAACTCAAATTTTCGAATTGAAATCTACGGGTATGGGGTAACTGACTATTATTTCATGTCTTAGGACTGTAAATACTATAAATTGAAGGGATTGGTAGTTTTATATATCTATAAGCTCTCTCTATATACACGCTTACAACGTATGTAGGGTCTCGTGCTCACATGGCCGCCATTTTGTACTCCAGCTGCTATATGATATTTTTCTCATCAGGTCTGTGGTTATGATCAATTTATAAAGACAATCTTAGTATGAAATACACCTTTTTTTTGGCTAGGGCTCAAGGAATATTCGACTGTTGAATACGTGGTCACCGCATTTGTGTGACCACGTTTCGCGTTGATGGAAACTGGAGGAGTTTTCTTGGTTTGGGATGAACATGACTTCCCAAAAATCGAGTATTAAATTTATTTAAGGGGGCGATGGAACAAGTCTATTATAAACTTGTAACCTTCGAGTGGTCTACCTGCGATAGGAGAACAGTGCTCATTGGTTATTTTAAGTATAGCCACTATTCTTAGATTAAACGACGATTATATCTTCCATACATAACTCACAAAAATGAGCAGGTCGACAGGTCAAAAGCTAACAAATAATAAAAGTTAGTATAAGACTAAAATTTGATTGATAGAATGATGTACGCCTGTCGAATTTAAGGATCTTCACTTTTTCGTACCACCAACAAAAGTAAGTGTGGTAAGTGATAGATGTATGATGTTCACATCGAAATCTCGCTGCACTAGATTTTTTTTATTCATAATATTTGTTCGTCTTCGCCATTTGGTTTGCCAATAATATTACGTTTTCACTTCTTTCATCCGTATTTATTGGATAAAAACTTACAAGTAAAAAGCAATAAAGATGATTGTGTATCGCATAGTTACATAACAAAAGAGCAATGCCTTATAAGCTGGTATATTTTTTAAGGATAGTAGACTAACTGATAAACACAGTTACCTGTGTCATTAAACTACAATGACAAGGAATCTCTAGATCGTGCCGTGTAGAAATAAATATTTTCTCTCCTCACTATGCGGCAAGGCAATCCAGGATGTCTCCCCATTGCCACGACACTAAAGTTGTCCAATAATTTAGGTGTTCATTTTCAGCCAACCTCAAAAAGCTTTTCTGTATGTCCAGGGACGTGGGCCGAAGGCTCAAGGCAGCCTACGGACACATGAAAGATTGCTCTCTGTCATCTTCGCAGAAGATGTACGCCAACCTGATCGACGGCGTGGAATCCCTCTATGAAACTATATGCTTGAATGAACCTTACAAACGCAGTAAGAATATTTATGTATACGTAGTTATGATAGATAGACCTTTTCTTCAAGAGTCATTTAAGAGTTATCGTTTATTAACAAGTATGGTTTACCGCCTGTAACAAACCTGAAAAACCTGCGCCTCCGTGAACTAGTTGGAACACCCAACCGTTTATTTATTATATCGATATTTATTAATCTAGTGCCAGAATTAATTAACATTTAATTATTTAGGTACAAAAATTAGAAAATTAATAGAATGCGTTGAATATATGTAATTAATAAGAAATAAAAATAATAACAATAAAATATAAAAAAATTGTTGCGGCCTCCTTTAGTACTGCCTAACCTAACTGCGACCTCTAATGATAAGATTCCCTGCCTATGAGCTATAATAAGATCCCATTAGTTTATCATCAACTATGATTAAAATCATAGCATATATCTAAAAAAAATAAAATAAAATAAGGGATTAAACAACAAATAAATAAGAAATTTCATAATTGGTAAATATAAAACATTGTTTGTATATAACAGTACATGGTTTAAAAAAATTATAAGAATCCACAATTTCGAAAAGTCGACTCAACTTTTTAATATTTTAGTGCGATAAACTTATTTTATATTATTAAAAAGGCTATCCTATTTTTAATGAGAGATAAAAAGTATATTAATTTAAATCTTTCAGGAAAACAGTCGTTTTAAAATAAATTAGTTCTTAGCAAGGAAAGAGCCGTTTTTCAAATTAAAACATGTTTTCAAGATGAAATACATTTCACTTAGAAGAGCTATTTTTAAAAGTTTGAGAACTTTACAGAATCAATACAGACACACACACACACACACACACACATATTTATATAAGTCCGGGGCTGGGTTAGCCGTGCGGGCTAAGGCGCTTGCAGTAGGTAATCAAAGTTAAGCAACGGCGAGCAATAGTACTTGGTTGACCATAGGAATGGTGGACACCAAGGAAAGCCACGCTGGTCGAGATCCAACCACGGGTATGAGCCCCGTCACTTTCCCCGTACTTTAAATCGGGAATGGAGATGTGGTCTAGGAGACCACACTCACGACCAAAGATCTTCATGAACTGTAGCGCCAACCGGAAAATATCTATAAGTAGGAAAATGGAGAATCTAATCCGAAGAATAAATATTTCAATTCTTATGATTAAACTTAATGATGAGAATCATCCAAACAGTATGATTGAGGATGATTCTCATCATGAGGAGTTTGAATGCATTGTTGTATTTTTTTTTTAATAATTTCAATCATTTATTATTACTTGATGGATCTGTTGATGAATAACGGATTATCTTTTCGTAATTAATTAAATAGACACTGTCGATTTTATACTAAGTAGTCCTAATGGAAATTCTAATCTAAAAAAGGACAAATAGACAATTGTTTAGATTAGAATTAGATTTAACATTTTCTCCTGCACGGTACCATTTAGATATAATAAGTAAATTGATAACGCGATATCTTAAGAAACGAAATATAATAGAAATTATAATTCAGTATAGTAAACCACAGCTGGTGGTCTTTGGTATCTAGCCATGTTTATTCATATTAAATATATTTGTAGTACATTTTTAAATAGATCGGTTCTAGGAAGGAATTGATAGAAGTAGAAATATATTAAACACAGTAAATATAAATAAATACCGTTTCTGGAACCTCCTGCACGCCATAGAAAAGCGGAAACGTACTTGTAAGTATGTATACAGAGCAATACATACTTGTGAGTAACAAGAATCAAGTTTTTGTATTGTGTTGTGTGCATATATAAATTTATTTTAAATATGATTAATTTACAATTCGTTTTATTAAACCCATAACTCATTTTAAAATCCAACTATTGAGGTGTACAAGCGGAAAACCTTCGAATTTTAATAGGGTGTATAAATAAAAAATATGATCCTTTTTCAACCAAATATTTGTGCTATTATTTCTTTGATATAAGATACAATTAATACTCAAAGTAAAGTCCATTGTTACCTAACGTCATCAGCCATCTGCTAGCCAATTGCTTGATCCCAGGGTGATACCATACTGGTCCATATTGGGATGACCGTCAAAGAACTCTTCGACCGCAATTTCAACTTTCGAAAAATTATCAATTTTTTTCCATTGAAAAAAATGGGCCATGTATCTAAATAAGTAGTGATCCGATGGTTCGAGGTCTGGGCTTTTTCGATAAATTTTCACAAATTTCTAACCTCTTGGCTGATTGCTGAAGATAAAGTTCGTGAGGAACCAGTCTACTGGTCTTTTTCACCTTCCCAATGGAGAACAGATGGCGATTAACAGTATCTCTCCACACACCACACTCTCTGTCAAGTTCGCGAGTACTCTTGGACGGATTTGGCTCAACAGCTTCCTGCAGAACCTCATCAATATCCATTAATGGTCGCCCGAAGCCCATCTCTCTTTTCAACGTCGTATCTTCACTGCTAAATATTTCAAATCAACACCGCGCAGTGCGCTGTTCAAGGACACCCTCCCCTCCATATATAATAATTTCACGAGTTGCTTTAGCGGAGCTGCTTTGTTTTCCAGAATTTCGTAGGAAACTGTCATGTTTCTTCTTTGAAACAAAGAACTAAACTGAGGCTTTTTTTGAACAAGTCAAATGGGATTAAATAAGCTTATTGAATGCTCTTAATAGGTTATTAAGTATTGGTAAGAATTAAATTAGATTAAAGTATTTACAGTCCTTTGAAATCTTGAATTCGATAAAACTGTCATTTATTTTTTATGCACCCTACTTAATAAGGAAAGAAAAGTGTAGTAACTTTAAAAACAAAATAACAACTTATTGAGCCAGTTGTTCAGGTTACATTTGAGTTCAGGAAATTTAATTGTTACAAAACAAATACATTCTTGTTTATGCTAGCAGCTAGCTTGCTACACAAACATAGATTGCCTATAAGAGCTTCAATTGTTGTTTTTTCGTACCAAAAAAATTGTTATTTTCAGAGTTTGAGGCTCACTCGAGTTGTTTTAAAAAGCTTTACAATGAACTGGACAACTGTGATGGGCCAAAGGATTGGGTGGAAGACTCCAATAAAACTAGATTATGTAAGTGAGTATCATGTTGAGTTGTTGAGCTTATATTTATATCTTAAGGTAAATTTTAAATGAAATTAAGTCATTTTTAACAATATTAAAATCTCATTCTTTATGTAATATTTAACTTTAAACACACATAGTCGCTAAAGAAGCGCTAAGTTAGATGTAAAACGAACAAATAGCTTAACGATAGTCTTGCAAGGCTAATTAAATAAATAGTACTGAAAGTTAATATATTACGTTAATATCTAATTATATTTTATTAGATTCATTTTTGGATTCCCCATCTCCAGTCGGTATGGCGAGTTGTAGTTGCTCTATCCAGATTTCCGACGGCAATATTTTCTAGGTGTATTCCTTTTTTGACCATTTACAACCAGGACACCTTCTTACCTTCTTGATTTGTTTGTTTCTTACTCCTTTGTCTATTCGTTCAACATGAAATTTCAGCCCATGAACCTGTTCATCCCTTCTCATAGAACTGTGTCCTTCAAAAAATCTTTTCTCAAACGTACTACATTGTTTTGGAATTCCTTACTTACCTCCATAGGCATATCTTAATCCTTAACCTCATTAAGCACCGTATATTTTTCCATCTTCTCAGCAATTAATCTTCCAAATATATGTAGCGATATTTTTGTATTTTAGAGATGTCAGCCACATTTTACTTTTGATCTTACAGATACTATATATTATCTACATTATTAGACTATCCAAGTCGTCACGTTTCCATATAATGTTTTTTCATTACATATGCGGTTTACCCTCTAGGCCACAAAGCCTACAGGTAGATGCCTTAGTTAAGCCCAGATTAAAAGGTGCTTATTGAGTCGACAGTAACCAATGTACAGTCACACCACACGTATATAAATTTTCAAAGTTCATTTTACAAAGTATTTCATTTAATCTTTAGACACCGGATTTATGGTAAATGTACCAGTAATAAAACAGTTTTCAATTCATTAACATATAATAAGCTTTGTAGATCAAAATATTATCACATATATTATTATAGTAAGGCTCTAAATCGGATTTGTACCTAATATAAGCTCCTGTCATGCTCAAATACCATCAATGGGGTACCGTAGGATTCAGAATTTCATGGGAGGTTAGTATTCTCCGCTGTTTTTCTTTTTAAAATAAATAAAGTCGATATAAACATTTTGCTAGGCTTCAATACTGAAACAGTGGTAATTCTGTAGATCGATATGAGACAAATTGGACTTTGAAGCGTACACCAAAACCCGGATAGTTCCTTCGGAACTATCGAGCTCTGCATTTTAAGCCCAAATACTTACTATTTTCTAGATAATTCAAGGCAAATGGTGCACATCCACACAATCTTACATTAATTATAGAACATGTCACATTTAATCGACTAGAGATCCCTACGATCGAGAGGAGGAGTTTATATTGTTTATCAAGAGTGTTTTTTATTTTGTCGATAAGCCATGATTCTTTATCAAATCTACAAGATTTAATCACCAATTTTGAAGGTTTTCTTCTCCTTCAGGCGTGATAAATAGTCCAATCACTAGAAAATTCAGGCAAACAACTTATGAAAGAAAAGAAACTTTATTTGCGAATAACTCAAAAATTACACACTTCTCTGGGCTATGTCCGTGATTACATAAACGATTACTAAATTTCTTACAAAAGGAAAAAAATCATCGAAATCGGACAATTATTAGCAATGATACAGCTTATTGAAATTTATAAACATGCTGGTTCCAAATATTAAAAATGTTTTAAATTAATTTTTGCTGTCGTTGTCGCTTATATTTAGAGAGAAAGTAACAATTGATTTCTTTTATGATTCATTCATTCATTCATGTATGGCACAACATCCCGTCACCGAGACTGGGCCTCCTCCAAGAGCCTCCGCCAGTTGGCTCTGTCTTCTGCTGCAGCTCTCCAGTTCCGCACACCAAGCAGGGTTCTCGCATCATAGGCCACGTTGTCCAACCATCTCGTCCTCGGCCTTCCTACCCGTCTTACGAGGTGCAGCTCCTCCATCATTATTTTTTTTGGTATTTCAAGGGTGCTCATTCTGGCCACATGCCCTGCCCACCTTAGTCTGGCCAGTTTAATATACGTGACTACGTCGATGTCTGCATAGAGAGAACTGAGCTCCCTATTTTTTCTTTTCCTCCAGACATCACCCTCCTTTACTGGACCATAAATCCTTCTGAGGACTCCTCGCTCAAAGACACTCAGCTTCATCTCATCCCTTTTGGTCATCGTCCAAGCCTCTGAGCCATATGTCAAAACAGGCCGAACAAGGGTCTTGTATATGATCAGCTTGGTTTTCTTTGAGAGGTACCTACTTCTTAAGTGTCGGCCAAGTCCAAAGACACATCTATTGGCAGCCGTGATCCTTCTTTGTATTTCTTGAGCCATGTCATTCTTGCTATTGATTTCAGACCCAAGGTATATAAAACTTTTCACTCTCTCAAACTTAAAAGAACCTACCTCAAATGGAGAGTTCAGATCAACCTCACCGCCAACTCTCATATACTTAGTTTTCCTCTCGTTGACTTCTAGACCAAGTGGTCTTGCAGCTGCTTCAAGGCTTATAAACGCTTCTCTGAGAGCCCGTTCAGACCTACCTACTATGTCAATATCATCAGCAAAACCAAGAAGCTGTGTCAGGCGATTGAAGATTATATCTTTGGTCTGAATACCGGAGTCTCTTACAGCTTTCTCCTCTGCCAAATTGAACAATAGACAGGCGAGGGCATCCCCTTGCCTAACCCCACTGCTCACTTTAAACTCTTCGGAGTCGTCAGAACCGACGCGTATTCTGCATCTCGAGCTGTCCATGGTCATCTTGATTAGGCGTACGAGCTTCTGAGGGATGCTTAGCTCCTCCAAGGCACAGTATAGTTGCGTTCTATCAACGCTGTCGTATGCTGCTTTAAAGTCCAGGAATAAATGGTGGGTGACTACCTTACGCTCCATAGTCTTTTCTAGGATCATCCTCAGAGAGAACAGTTGATCAGTCGTTGAGCGTCCTCTTCGAAATCCAGCCTGATATTTCCCCAGTTCCTTTTCAGAATACGGGAGGATCCTCTCAAAAAGAATGTTAGAGAGCAGCTTATAAGCACACGAAAGGAGTGAGATTCCTCGATAGTTAGCGCATTCTGTTTGATCTCCTTTCTTATGTATTGGGCAGATAATGGCTGTTGCCCATTCCGTAGGCATAGCTTCCTTCTCCCAGATGGTCAGCATTAAATCATGCAGAGCTTTCTTGAGTTCTTCACCTCCACATTTCAACAGCTCTGACTGGATTCCGTCCGGGCCTGGCGCCTTTCCATTTTTCAATTTCCTCAGGGCGTTTTCCATTTCCTCCTCATCCGGGGGTTCAATAGAATTCAGGGAGTCTTCCTTAATTACACCTACTTCTCCAGGCACCGTTCCTCTGTTTAATGCACCTTTGAAATGTTGTACCCATCTCCTTAGTATGTCATCTTTATGGCTTAAAAGAGTTCCATTTATGTCTTTGCATGCCGTCACTCTGGGCCTAAAAGCTGCCCTACCCTCGTTTATTCTCTGAAAGAACAGGCGACTTTCATTTTGGCCTCGCAATGCCTCTGTGTCCTCCATGTTCTTATTTTCCCAAGCTCTTCTCTTTCCGCGGAATAATCTCTTCTCTTCGCGTCTTTTTCTTCTATATGTTTCTTGGGAGAGCCTTGTGGGACGCTGAACCTTCTTTCTGTAGGCTTCATTTTTCACTTTTACTGCTTGAAGGCACTCAGCATCAAACCATGGGGGCCTTCTAGATTTAGTCTCGTAGCCAAGAGCTTCTTCTGCTGCCTGTTTCATTGCGTTGCTGCATCTCTTCCACTGTTCATCGACCATAGAGCTGTCATTAATTACTTCTTCACTAAGTTTCGTCTCCACAGCTTGTTGATACGAATATTGGTGGTCTGAGTCCTTAAGTTTAACCACATCAATCTTCTTCTTTGGTCGTTGGTAGTGGTTTTTAATCAGCGAAATTCGTGATCTGACCTCGGCAATGCTCAAATAGTGATCCGTGTCCATATTTGCACCTCTATAAGATCTTGCATTTATCATGTTGGACTTGTGACGGGCACTAATGAGTACATGGTCTATCTGTGATGCTGTTTGCCCATTTGGAGAGATCCATGTTGCTTTGTGGATATTCTTTCGAGGAAAAAGAGTTGTTCCAACAACCAGTCCGTGCAATGTAGCAAAGTTCACCATCCGTAGCCCATTATCATTACTGGTCTCATGCAAGCTGTGGGTTCCTATGGTCGGCATGAGTGCCACCTCCTTACCAACTTGTGCGTTAAAGTCACCAAGAATGATTTTAACATCATTTTTGGGGCAGCTTTCTGTCACGCGTCCAAGTTCATCATAAAATGCATCCTTATCCTCCTCAGGTGACACCTCTGTTGGGGCATGGCAGTTGATTAGAGAGAAATTAAAAAATTTTCCTCTAAGCCGAATGTAGCATAACCTTTGGTTAATGGGAGTAAATCGCATCACCAACTGTCGAGCTCTGCCTCTCACAACAAATCCGGTGCCGAAGACGTGATGCTTTTCATGGCAGCTATAGTAGAGTGTATGGTACTTCTTCTCCATAATTCCCTGTCCTATCCATCGGACCTCTTGGATAGCTGCTATGTCGATTCTATATGTGTCCACTTCTGCAAGGAGCGCACGAAGTGCTCCTAGTCTATGTAATGATAAAATGTTCCAAAATCCAATTCTTAGGTCATTTAGGCGTTTCCTGGGTCTGTTACCGTAATTCAGTCCGGCTTCTTCTCTTTGAGGTTTCGTAATAAGGTACTTTAGGGGGGGTGGGTTATCAGCCCACTGCCCCCGAGTCAGGTAGAGGGGCTGCCTCCTCCGAGCATCCTGACTAGCTCCCCCATCCGGGGCGGCTACCTAGGGAAGGTGACCCTAGGGTGTGTACTGTAGGTGACCTTTGTCTGTAGTGTTTAGGTGTTGTAGTATGCTGTCTAAAGTGTACTTGGTGTGTGAGTGTTCGTGTAAGTGTTCCCCCAACCTGGAGGGCCAGTGGCTGGTTGCGGTACAGTGACCGGGCGATGGGACCGCCACCTCCCTACGCCAATTTCTTTTATGATACGTTGCATTATTTTATTTTATTATTAATTTATAATTTGATCATTGAACAATATACTGTACGAATTTTTCCAAGGGCCTACCAGTATATATATATAAACATAATTATTTAAATTGAAGATTAGGTGGGAATAAGTGATCTAATTCCCAATTTAAATAATTATGTTAAAATATAATACTCAAAGGTCGATTGAAGAAATTTTTTAAATATATATTTCACGCGTCTTTCTTTAAATGTTTTTATGATGATAGCAACATGACAGAGTATTTCACCCCTCTTATTGTCATAGCAACGATGAGCTCGTAATAACCAATATTTAACTGTTTCATTCAATCTTATTTATGCTCTACAGTTGATAGAACATTAACCGATATACTGACAAAACTCATTCTGTCATTTTTCATAATAACATTATAATCTTATTCAAAAGCTATCCAGTTTGACTCTATTTATTATTTCTGTTTAACTCAATTTTTTATTATGACATATTATACATGAATGTTATGTGGTCCTCTTGAACACTTGTTTTGCGCAACTCCTTTAAATCGCTCTGTTCTAAATATGCTGGTACATACTTATAGTAAAAATAAAAATAACTGTAAAAAAGAACTTTGTATCGTAGAATTTGTATTAAATGGTTATTATATAAAAGCAAATGTTTGAGGATACTTAAGTAAAAATAACTATAAAACAGAACTTTATAACGTAGAATTTGTATTAAATAGTTATTATATAAAGAAAATGTTTGAGGATACAAGGTTAAAAATTGTTTTGCGGACCGCACTTTAAGACCCTGTGCATTATATGATATATATTATTATTGCATATAGATATAATAATAATATTTTTTAGGGCTTACGAAAATATTGTTGACTGCTATATGATAAAGACAGCCATGATTTGCGGTCCAGAAGCGGCTGACATTTTTAAGAAACTCCTCATCAACGTCCTCAGAGCAACTGTAGTTGTAAGTTTTATTTTATTTTTTTTCATTTTTGGCAGATCCTACATTTAAATCTGTAAAGTATATGTCATTTATATTTTTTTATTTTGTAATGCTAGGTTGCCCCATAAGTTCTTTCCTTTTTCTTTATTTGTTGTAAAAGGTTGGTCTATTACAATCTGCTCTATTACCTTCTTACGGTCAATGCAACATGCGGCCTTTGTCATAAGACAAAAACTCTTACGGTTTGATCGGGACTTTCTACCTCATCCTCTGTACTCCGCAGACCTTGCCCCATCCGATTATTACTTTTCTCTTTTGTTAAAAAATTCTGTCTGTGTATAAATAAATGTCAAAAATACGAAAGCGAAATAAAAACGCATCTCGATGTATATTTTGCAAGTAAGTCTCGAAAAATATGTAAAACGGGTCTAAGAGGCTTCCTGAAAGATGAAAAAAGGTAAAAGAGCAGATCCATTCATATATAACACAGTAAATCAACCTTTAACAACAAATAAAGAGAAAAAAATAACTTATGGGAAAACCCAATATAATAGAATACAACCTAATGTAATACACAATACAAACAGCAGTTCCTCTTACGGTTCTTTGTTGAGATGGTCACTATTAGACGGAAAATTGCTATTTGTTAGAAAAGTTGTCATATTTCAAAAACCCGATTGGATCACGGAAGGATTGGTTTTACTCAATTAATTTTTCTAGAATGAGCTATAATAACAAGAGCTTGCTCAGTTAAACTTGAGCTAGGCCCGAACTGTTTACATAACTATATTGTTGACAAACAAATTAAACTCTCCATAGATGGATAATCTGAATGGAACAGAAATTGTCCAAATATGGAACTAGACAGGAACTACTGACTGGTTCATTTGAAATGAATGACTTCAGCTCCTGTCTTGAATTAATCTGCAGAGTTGTATTATGATGAGAAAATGGTCTAGAATGATTCATGATTGATATTATGGGACTTTAATATCTATTCGATTTTTCGTCGATCTTGGTTGGTTTAAAAAAAAAAAGTTTAAGTATTAACATGATGTTAAATGTTAATATCGCTAGACTGTAGATAAAAGTGGCAAACAGAAATTTTTGTGAAAATGACATAGTTTGGTTCCACTTTTTGATGAAAAACAAATACAATTATTGCCGAAAATTCAAAAATTGTAATTTCCGGTATAAGAAATTCGACAAATCAGGGAGCTTGAAATTTTAAAATAAGAAAGTAATCGATTTATAATAAATAAATAAAGCTGTTTGTCAATGTTAGGCCGCGGCATCTACTGGCAAACACAAATTAAAAAATCGCAATTTTAGGAGTGAAAATCACTAGGGTGGCTCGAAATTTTGCTATGTGATACTTCAATATTTCTTGTTAATTAAAAATGCAGTCTGCCATTGACAAGCCGTTGCTAGACTGGCAGAGATCAATTGTGGACATAAATTTATCATTTTTAAACAGAGGTAGTACACCTGTACTATACGCCACGATAGCTTCTAGAATCTTTTAAAATTACTATCCACACTTTATATATATATATATATATATATATATATATATATATATATATATATATATATATATACAGAAGTAACTATATAAGTTTTGGAATATTTAGAGTACAAGGAAGTAGAGCTCTAGTTTTCCTACATCTAAAACAAATTTCAAATCCTTATCTAAAACTTTGTTTGTTGTTTATTTCTTGTTAAGTTATTCTTTGCCCATCTGCCGAAAAATAACTGACTTTTCCAGGATATCGGCTTTCCCCAGTTTCTAGAATATCCTCCTATGGTTTGTGTACCCTTCCCATACTTTAGTTTAAATAAAAAAAAAAAAAAATGTTAGATTCAAAATAAAATCGTTCCATATTTTCGTATTGTGTCAATAAATAATTTACCCTATTGAAAACTGGTCAACACACTCCAACGATAAATTAATCTAATTAAATATTATTTGAAATAAAAGCAGAAGATCTTACTTTAACCCATCCGTGATAATCAGATGTCACCGACTTAGATGTCGGTTTCTTTTTGTAGGAATTTAATGTTTTTGTAATCTAAATACTCATTTCTATAGTTTTCAAGGAGTATAATTACAAAGGGAACAATGAAATCATAGTGAAAGAAATAAACTAAAATATGGGAAGCTAAACAAATCATAGGAGGATGCTCAGGAATCGAGGAAAGCTGATTATGAAGTTCTCGGATTATGGATTATGTTATTTTTTGGCAGAGTTCAAAGAAGAACTTAGCAAGTAATAAACTTAATAACAAAAAGTAAAACTTCAGATAAGGGCTCGAAATTTGTGTCAGATATAGAAAAACTAAAGAGCTCTGTTTCCTTATGCTCTAAATATTCATTGAAATATTCTAAACCATATATAGCTAGCTACCTTTGGTATACATTTTTCTTTTTTATTATATAAGTATGAATAATAAATTTAAAAGATTTTAGAAGCTATTATAGAGTAAATTTTATACCTCTAAAAAAAAAAGCTGTGTTCAAAATAAAATTGTTTAATGGTTGCATTATGGTGTCAATAAATAATTTTCCCTGTTTAAAAAATGTAAATTCATGCCCACAATTGATCTATGCCAATCTAATTCATTATAACTAAAGAAAAAAACGTCTTCAATGAACTAAAGATTTTTAGTTTTAAATCGTGTTTTTTGGAACTAGGCTGCACTATCAATCAGACCAACTAGGATGAGCAGACAAAGCTTACATCAGGAAAAAATCCAGTTTAATAAAAGAAACTAAATAACCGTCTTCAAATAATATATTTTATCAATTTTAGACTGCTCGTGGTTTTAGGAAGGTCGCCATTTCGCAATTCAATTTCGCAGTTCATTGCAGTTTTGATCTTAGTCTGCCAGTACAAAGCGGACGGCCTATCAATGGCAGATTGCATTTTTAATTATCAAGAAATATTGAAGTATCATATTGCAAAATTACAAGCCTCCTGAGATTGGTGAATTTTTATACCGAAAATTAAGTTTCTTTAATTTGAGTCTGCTAGTGGATTTTCACGGCCTAGCATAAGAAGATAACGTTATTTCTTTATTATAAACCAAATACTTTCTTATTTTAAAATGTCAATCCTCCTGAAGTTGGTCATTTTTTACACCGGAAATTGCAATTTAGAATTTGAGTCTGATATCTGAGGCCTAACATAGTCAGACAACGTTATTTCCTTCTCTTAAACCGAATATTTTCCTTTAGTAAAATTTCAAGCTCTCTAAAATCTGTGAATTTTGAAGCCTAACTTTGCATTTTTTTAGTTTGAGCCTACCGGTAGAGATAGACATCGTTGTTTTTTCTTTTTATGAAACACATTCACTGTAGTTATCATTCCAAGGCTCCTAAAGTTCAGAAATTTACTATCCCAAAGTTGCAATTTTTTAAATTAAGTCTACCAAATCATAGCAGTTGTACAGAAACGGCAGACCTCTCAAAAACGACATGTTTCGGTAAAAAGATCCATGTAACAAAGTTTCATCTAGCCTGCGATGAGGTCAATTTTCGAAAAATTTGGATCTCTTGGCCTGGTCACCATTTCTAAAAGCAGCGGCTTTGGAATGACAGAAAAAGCTTATTTTATTTAAAATGTTATACGCTTTCATAATTTACATTCAACCCTTCTCCTGCGATGAGGTCCGTTTTGTGGTCCTGTGCTTGTAGGAGGCTTGCTGATCTCTAACTGCACGCTAAGGTTCCCGCTTGTGGCTCTCTACTCACTGTAGCAAACCAAGAAACTCGCCTTCACTTTTGTCGTGAACACGCTGCCTGGACTGAATATGATTTTGCTTAAACAAGTGTCCACTTGTTTTATTGTACATTGCATTTTTTTTATAATGAATTTTTGTTTTCTTTATTTATGGTCTCCTAAAAACAGAATATGTCACACTACATTCAGATAATAAAAATTGAATTATATTTTTTTTTGGAAAGAAAGATAGAATTAATTTTAAATACGCTGGTTTGTATGACCACCAATGTATGTGTATATCCAATTATAAAGGAAAAGTAAAAGAATTCTTACATAAAAGATAACAAAATAATTTAATTATGATCACAGAATTTATATACTTTGAAGGTATGATTAATAACAATTTAAACAAATTTTAATTAGATTTATTTTTCAGACGGACTGTGGACTCCGAACTCGAGCAACAGGAGGAAACATACAGACGAAACCGATAATGTCAGAAAGGACTTATGAAATGATATACCTAATAATTATTGTAATTTTGATAGTAGTTTTGATCAATGTGAGTGGCAGAAGTAAAAAAAAATAAAGACCTATTAAGATTGTCGTGTAACTTATATCTGTGGCTGTCATAAATATATTTACAGTTTAATATTAGTATACAATATTGGGAGCCTGGTACATGCCATATGATGGAGAGCCCTGTTCTTGTGTAAAAAACAAAACAAAAATTGAGTGAGTGAAATATTTGAGAATGACAAAATGGTTAATGCTGTTAATTCTGTTCATTTTTTAAAACGAATACCTCTGAAGGGGTAATAAATTTTAGTTGGTTAATTTCTTATATGATTGTACCATTCAATTATTGAGGGAGACGGTACCAAGTCTTGCAGGATCTGTCTGTGGAAGCCGCCGTGGTCTTGGTTGTGTCCTTGCCGTACTCGCTGCCTTTGTCCGAATTAGGTGTAGGCGAAGGGATATGATTCCTCTGGTTCAAGTTAATCGTGAGCTGTGCTTGAAGTCGGTAGAGTAAGTGAGATCGAGGCAGGGTGCTTTGTCAAGCATCTGGACCTCGTACTCAAAGGCCCCGTGTTATTGGTACAAGGCCAATTAAAAATTATACAAATGAAATTTCAAATATATAATAAATAAAAAAAAAATGAACTACTTGGATGTAAATCCAACAATTAGTGTGTGATTTAACTCAAAGATAGTTCATTTAATAATGTTCTTTTGATTTTTTAGCAATCATAAGTTCTTAAAACATTTTTTTTTTCGTATAATTTTTATTAATATCTTATATTATTAATATCAATTTCTTGCTGCATCACGAACATAAGAAATCTGCTATGGTATATTTCTGCTAAATCACTGACAAAGGTAGGGGAGCATTATATTCGTGGGGGAGTTCAAACAATTTTTTGTGCTCAGAAAATAAAAATTTCTAATCGCGTTATACGTTTAATTCATCAAAGAACAAACTCGATTCCGTGTCTGTTTGTCTGTCAGAAGTCAAGTCTATGTGACCAGCACAACGCCTACTACCGTTTATCCAATTTTTATGAATTTTTCAAAAATTGTGTGGATTGATGCCTAGATAGTTCCACATCAAATTCTATCTACCATTTTCTTACACTCATGCGTAAATTCATATTTTTTTAGACATGCCTATTCTACATCGGTGTGAATATGTTTTATTTATTTTATTATCATTCAGCTTCAATATATTATTATATTTTAATATTTATTAGTTGACCGTTGCATTATAAAGGAAGAAGATGGTCCGGGGTGGCGGTCATAAATAGGCTAAACAGTGGCAAAACTATTTTATTAAAAGCCAACGTTTCGACCCGACTTTGCAGGTCTTCTTCAGGGAGGTGTGTTCAGCTAGGAGTTTCACTTAAAACTGCTCGCAGTTTCTGTTCGCGCTATTCGCAGATTTAAGGGAAACTCCTATCTGAACACACCTCCCTGAAGAAGATTTCCAAAGTCGGGTCGAAACGTTGGCTTTTAATAAAATAGTTTTGCCACTGTTTACCCTATTTATGACCGCCACTCCGGACCATCTCATTCTGTTATTATTTCATTCATCTTAAATATAAAATATGTTTATTAATTCTCTTTTTATTATTTTTTTTTCACTTTAGTTATTTATATTGATTTTTCTTTCGTATGTACATATTGTGTTAATGAATACTGTAGCCCTAGTACCAATGCCCTTCATTGTGGTGGACTGTATAAGATCATTGAATAATACTTCAGAGATTCGAATATTTCAGAAACGCTCATTCGATTTGGATCAAATCTGGATGAAAATTTGTCATTTGTAAAAACGATACTGTTTTGATTTTCATTCTCTACTTTCTCTTACTTATGAGCAAACGTATTTTCCTTGATACTTTTATACTCGAATTTGGAGAAATGTTAGTGATCCATAAAGAAATCATGAAGTAGGCAATAATTTCAACAAATTCTAGCCACTACTTTCAAACAATACTTCCGCTTTCGGACCTGCAAATTTTTTTTGACACGCCTGTAGTTTGAAAACTGCTCGTTCGATTTTCGATGTTAGAGGTTAAATTTATACTATAATTTAATGAGGTTACAAGATTTTTGACTGTAGTCAAAAGTTTAATTAAAATTGTATTCTTTGAGAGCCTGGAAAAGGGAACTACTTACTACACTTATGTAATTACTTACTTACTGCTAATTATGTAAGTAAATTAAAGCTGCGTAAGGGGTACCGCTGGGTTCCGCCTTTTCTCGTGCAGAAGCATATTTTACTGTTTTAATTTCGATTAATTTATCTCATTTAATTATAAAGACAACTCATCAGCTGATTTTTTATAACTGTAAATTCTAAATAACAGGTGCGGATTGAAAACAATAACGTAATATATAAACATTTAAAAAAAAAAGGTAGATTTAACTGTATTCTATTATAGATGCCTTATGACTGGCAATGGCACCTACCGCCATTACGAAAATGGGTCATGAAGATTTTATTGGCAAACGAAATTTCACTGACCTAGGATATAGGAAATTGTGTAAAAAATGAAAATGGTGAAGGAGCTGAACTGAACATATTTGATGGACGTTTTTAGTGGAAATTAGTGTTCTGCTAATATATTTATCGAATTTCATACCAACGTCCAGGTTAAAAAGTCCATACAAAATAACTAATTATAGGATCGATAAAGTCACTCAATAAACATTTTGGTATCATTAAAGAAGGCCTACAAAGGAATGTAAATCAAACTAAAATAATAAAAAAAATTAATTTTTGAAATTTACAACTGTATTAAGTGATGAATACAACAAGTAAATATGAAACAAGTAACATGACATGTATAGCATGAAGAGAAACTACCCATTGGTAACAATTATATTTCTATATTAGAAGGTCTCGAGACCATCTTCTTTTCAGACGCCTCGGAGGGTTATCAGTATTAGAAGAGGAAGCAAGGTTGGTTCGGATGGTTCAGAAGTTTATTATGGAAGGATATTTATCCAGATTGAGCAAAATTGGAAACATGTATGATTATTTGTGTTATGGATGATTTTATTTGTGACAAAGTAGGGAGCATTGAGGATTTCACGAAGGATTTCGGATTGTAAGGATTAAATACGAAACTAATTTGATGGTTTAAATAATAATGATAACATTTTTTTTGTTACATCTTTCTAAAAAATATATACAAATGACCATTGAACTTGATAGGATGACAGGAAATCTGAATAATATAGCATGATAGAGAGTATCAAAAGAACAAGTATAAAAATAATTTTATTCTAGGACTAAAGTTGCCTAAGAGTAATAAGTTCATGATGGAAAGTACGAGGTTTTCATTGTATACTATCGATATAGTTATTCGAAAGGACATTTAACTTTGATTTGAGGACACTCAAAACAGGTCTAATCACCTACTTCTGTACAACTAGCTCAATTTGAGCCGATATTTATTTAAATAGGCTGGTAAGTTTATTTTATCAACTTTTCTTTCCTATCCTACCTCTTCTTTTTGACAATACAGGTTTTTTCTCGGGCTAGGGGAAAGGACATGGGATGAATGCCTCGGCACGCGGGTTCGAATTGATAGTCTTCTGTTGATCAAGGTAGCGGACTACAGCATGTTTTACATACGCTTTGGCCCGCCCGACCACCCCGTCCCCCAAATAGGTCAAAGTAGTGACACACGCTGCGACATATTTTTGAACATCATATAAATTAAAAATAACTTATTCTGGCAATCTAATTCAGTACATTTAATTATTTTATATTTGGTTACTTCCAAATTCAACATAATTTCCGAAAGTAGGATTTGGTAAGAGAACTCTGGTCTACACCTAAGGCTGAATTAAGAGGCGAAAGCACAATTCCAAAGTTTGAACTGAAGGAAAAAGTATACCGTTGGAGAAGTTGCAGCCAATATTTACCAGCAGACTCGGCGTTTTGTCCTAATTAAGCGATCCAAGGTGTTCCTAATTACTGAGTTCTCCTACCTCTATGTTTATTCTCCATTATTTAGGGCGTGCCCCTATTACATTACTGCTCAGTCTTCCACTCGCGTAAGTTGCCGTATAATAATGATTTAGAGAATTAATATATATATTCTCAACTGGATGTCCAAATATTTCAGAAGTAGATGCTTCAGTTCTGGTTTTAAATAAAACTTCTCTAACAGGTTCAAATCTTAAACTTCGTGCACATTATAAGTTACCTGCACCAGATTCGTCAGAATTTATTCAATCTAGTATAATTGAGTCTAAAATCGTTTTATGAACCTAAGTCATGTAAATATTGGGCTGGATAGAAAGAAGGAAAGAATCACTAATTAGTCATCGAGTGATAAGCCGATGAGAGAACGCTAGAGTGAAAGGCCGAGATGAAGATGGCAGAATATTGGAACATTCAATAATGTCGATTCAAATTTAAATAGTATAGAGCACAAGTAGAGAATTTTTATTATTGAAGGCAGCATCAATTTCTTATATTTCTGTGCCTCGGAGGTAAAGGACACCATGCCCATTTTTTAATTAAATAATTTAGTAACGAAGAAACAAATTTTAACAGCTAAAAGTCATTGAAAATCGATTCCCCCGAACAAATACAAAAATGTTACAGTATCCGTAACTTCCGGGGCACAGATTTAGGAACTAAGAAAGAAAATTTTAACAGCTCAAAGTCATTGAAAATTGGCAACCATGACTAAAAAAAAAATGAATATGATGTTCTTTACATTCGAGGAACAGATTTTACCGTTGATATTTTTATTTATCACTAAATACATATCGTTCACTTATAGCAAAAAGTCATAAAGTAACATTTCATAACCTTAAATTATTAAGAACTTTGAAGAATTTTCCTTTTATGAAATCAGAAAATACACAAACCAACGAAGTATTCAATTGAATTCTATTTATAGTGATGTAGAGATGGTTGACCGTTAATATAATATGAGAAGGAGTTAGTCGAGGGTGCGGTCAAATAAATAAAAAAAATTTAAATATATAAATTATTTTAATATAATTATAATTTAATTTAACATAATAATAATTAACATAATAACAATTAACATAATAATAATTTATATATTTTAATTTTTTTTATTTATTT